AGCCATACTCGCGTTACTTCCATTATTAGTAAGACAAGTGGAAAACTGGTTCTATAATCAAATCGAGGTAGTTAGTATAAACTCTTTTTTAATTTGAATTGAGGACAAAGGCCAGCACACACCTTGAGGTATATAGGACAGTCTCCAATTACGTATCTACTCCTAACGGCATACAATTCACTTGAAGATGAGTGGTTCTAAGGCTCGAATATTTACTTAGCCTTAGTAAGAAGATCCTCAGTATTTTAGTTTTTTAACTATTTTGTAAACCTCACTGCATTTCATTCAGCATATAGGGAGAAAACCCTTATTTTTTACCAACTTTGTCCATAGACTTTCTGCTCTATTCTTCTCGATCTCCTTTATCTCTTTGCTCATGATCTACGTTTTCTTATTTCCTTGTTCCTAAATGACCTTTTTTATTATTTTTATCGTTCACCTTTCCCAGCCTTCGTTTTTCCTGGGTAGTTAGTTTCCCGCGGGCCTGCGTTACACTTGTATCTGTGGGCAGCTTGTCTCTTTCGGGGTCATTGTTGTCACAGTCAAAGCGGAGACGAGTTGCCGGCTCGTCTGGGAGTTAGGAGGGTAGCGATGCCCATCTCCGCAACTGAAAAGGCTCTTTTGTAGCTCAATCCACTACCCCCCTCCAGAAAATCTGGATTTGGCTTCCTTGCAAAACTCTTTTTCCTAGCTGAGGTCCTGTCTTCCGTTAGAAGAACGAGTTGCCAGCTGCCAATGTTTGTCAGGAATAAAGGACAGATAAAAGGCGGCCACGCGCTTTATGGGCTTCTCGACGAGATTGTAAAGTCGACCGGTTGACTTTTAGCCTTTGAAAATGCGAATGGGCGGGGCTCCTTGGGACTAGCATCTGTCAGTGGTTCGTCTGTCGCAAGCGGAGATTTAGAGTAGCAGGTTTTGAATTGCCATATGATGGACATAGTTTTAAGTTGGCTTGGCTTCCTACAGCGACAAGCTGGCATTCTGAGGGCGAGTAAATGAGTTTGACACAAGAACCACTTTCATCTTACCAGAGCGAAAGGTCCGAGAGATGTTCTGATCTCATGTGACTGAATTCAATTTGAGAAACCAAATGTAAATATCAGATGGCCTTTCCGCAATGCAATCCTATCAATTCTCTTAACGAGTTTGTATCATCTGACAGCTGATATAAACGAAATTATTAATAATATGTAAATATATGTATACAGACTAAAATCTCTAGTAAGCCAGCTTTTATAATATAATTGTGATGATATTTTGATGCTTTACCATTATCTTGTAAAATCGATGACTTGATTTAACTTATTAGAATGGAAAGATCAGGTCATTAAACAAACATGGCTCAAATGATTATTCAATAACGTTTGAAAATGGAAGTGCAACACAGAAATTTTAGTGAGCTAGGCATCTTTTGCATATTATGCCGAAGCTGGAGTGAAGAGTTAGACCTTGACATTGTAGGAAAGCAGACTGTCTTGGATACAATAAATAATAAATAATCATTTGATCGTGCATATCACATATCCATGCATAACCCAGTTAAGTTCATTCGTTCTGCAAACACAGACCTATATGATGATTATTTACGAATGAATTTAATCTGATTACTTTATCCTTCGTCTCATTCAATAGCAAATAGAGGAGAGCATTGGGTTCGAAAGTATTCTATTATAAAATGCACAACTTTTATAGATCTAAATAGACTCTAAATATGACTCAATAAAATAATGATTAATAGTTAACCGATATGAATGATATTTCCGCAAACTTTCGAATATTAACATAATCAGTTTATATTAATAGCTTTTAAAGAGGATGCTATAGTTTTTTATCCTCGACTCTTCTTTACCTAATGTTGTCCTAGATTTTGCCCAGCAGGTGGTCTAAAAATATACTCATCTTTTTTTCCTCTTGCCGTCTACGTCAAACCCTGATTTAGGAGTTAATTGTGAGTTCCGAGATCCCTGTCGTCAGAATCTCTGCAATCCACTAGCCAAGTGCATCCCTAACAATTTGGGCCGACACGATTGTATCTGCCCGGATGGCTGGAACGGCACCGACTGCAATCAGGACATCAACGAATGTCGTCTTGGACCCAGATCCCCATGCGAACATGGTGGCATCTGCATAAATACAGTAAGTTACTTGTCCCTTTTGCCCTGAATTAGAAAGCTAGCGCAGTCAGAAGCACACGCGCTCGTCTCTGCCTTCTCTTTTCTATCTCCATCTATGTCCATCTGTGTGTTTATGAGTATGTGTGTGTATATATAATTGTTCGAATGTTAATCTGTTGCTTTTAGTGGTGATACTGCTACTATTTTGTATGTATGGATTGTTGAACTTCTCACAATTAAATGAGTATGGGGATTTTCGATGCCATTGGATTTTACTTATCTTTGTATATACTAAGAAAAAGCGGGTTTCGGAGGGTCTCCTGAGGTCACATTATTATGGTGATACCTAGAAAAACTAGGTTTCGAAGAATCCCTTAATGGATTGATGTTGGAGTAGCTTTCATTTTGTTTGAAGAGGCGAGTGGAAGGGACTCGTAAATTAGTTCCACCGGAAGCTGTAGGAGGGTAACCTTGGAGCTATGGTAGCAGAATTGTGCGAATAGGTCCTCGGCTCACCGCCTTGCGACCCCGATGTATCCTTACTGAGGCTTCGTCCGTCATGCAACGGACATCATCGGAGCAGGACACCATTCTTAACGATAATTAACCAAAAGCACTAAGGCAAGAAAGATGGCTGGCCTCAAGCCTACTTCATGCTTATAGTCCAATTTGGTTCGCTTAGGCATCTCATGTTTTGAAGATATGAAGAAAAATTGGGTTTCGAAGAATTTCTTATTTAAATATTG